GTATGGCCTGTTTTGTTCGAATTACTGCAAAACTGAACGACACAGCGTTTTACCATAATGAAGATGTGGTGTTTTTCCAAAAGAAACTATGTAAACATGCGCTTATTTAATAACGTGTTCAAGAAAAACCTTTGACTTCCCGTAACTAAAGGTAAACCCGTGACGTCATTTGCTAGATTGCGCAATTCAAGATGGCGGATGTTTAGAACTTTGAAGCGATTTTCCAACGTGAAAACGGGCTAAAGTGAACAAAAGATCTACAGATTTGGCAGATGTCATGTATGTACTAAACGACTATGTGGTCCCCAAAATAGCATTTTTTGGGTTTACATGCCCTTTAAGTCCTAGACAAAATCGGTGTCCGGGCCAGGTGGTTGAATTGCAATGATGAAATCCTCGGCAACAGTTGCTGTTATTTCAAACTTCTTGTCTCTGTCTAACTGATTTTTCACACTTTAGAATGTAGGCCTTGAGTTGCTTCAAATCACTGAAATATTTCCTATTAGAATTATAGACGACTTCAACCATCGTTAATGTTTTTGTTTGTTTTGTTTGTTTTCAGCACTTTTCAAGTGCATGGGCGCAATATCTTGTATAAATCTTTAGAAATTTACTTGTATTTTTTGAATGACATTACGTACTCCTGGAGTTGCTTCAAAGCTCTGAAATAGTTTCTATTAGAATTATAGACGACTCTAACCTTAATTAATTTTTGCCTGTTTTGTTGTTTATTTCAGCACTTTTCAGGACATGGCCAACAAATATAGTTTTACTATCCTACTTATCTTTTGCCTGGCCGCACCAGCTATCTCAGTCCACGCCTGCAATCCACAACTCAATGACTGTAGCAACTTCTCCAAAAGGGTAATTTTTTATATATTGTTGATGCCACTCACTTAGTCAAGCAGGCGACCCCTCAGTTTGGTTTCGAGGATGAAAGGAGGGTGGTGGGAAGGTGGAATAAAAAATGTAACTGATGGGTTATTGGCTGTCCTGTTTTGGCTCCACTTAATGGTGTTCAAATTCAATTTTCCACAAGTGCAGGACAGACGCTGACTTTGCTGTCCCTCCTTTCTGTGAGCAAAAAACAGACATGCAAACAAGTTGGCGACAACGGTGTTTTACATAGCCTGGTCCAAATATAAGATAAAGTTTGGGAGATTCAAAAACCGTGAATGTTAAACTTCTGGTACAGCTAACCAATCAGAGCGTGCGTAATATGAACGCAATAGACCTTTTTAGCCTGGGCGGTTTGTTGTCCCTTTGCAGACCATATAATGATACTCTTGAGAATTCTTGCCTTCAAATTGTTAAATAGTCGCCTGTATGTGAATGAATATTATTTTAAATTTAGATTGGCGAAAGCAGAATTTTGTAGAGAATATCACGTTGTCTGTAATGGGAAAAGAAACCGCCCAAGCTAAAAATTAAAGGTCTATTTTGGTTGTTTTCCTTAGCCAAGCCAAATCCGTACTTTGCGATCGAAAATGAAATTTCCCGTTCCATTTATGGACAAACCATTCTTCTCAGATTGCGGTTCAACCAATCCGCGTCCATATGTGGATCATTCAGATTAAAACAAAACCTGGGCCCCTTGGCATTCAGTGTGTTCCAGCGTCCATGAACATTTCAAAAAATCTGGATTAATTAAATCTCAAAAAAGTCTGTACACGGGCCAAGTGGCCCATCAGATCGGAGCTTACATCCCGGTTTTTGTAGCATGAAGCGACTAGGAGTGTATCTACTCCCGCCTGGATGGGATGCTAGTCCATCGCAGGGTTACCCCTAGCATTAAATTCGCCGGTACATGTTTATACACTTGGGCGGTGAGAGGCACTGTGAGAGTAAAGTGTCTTGCCTAAGAACACGACACAATGTCCCCGGCCAGGGCTCCACTCCGGACCGCTCGATCCGGAGACGAGCCACTAGTCGTGAGGCTAGCGCGCCTCCCTGCCAAAGCTAAAAAGCTAACGAAATATCGTCACTTATTTTGTTAAGTGCCACAAAAAGAAAACACATTAATCATGAGGTCACCGCGCCCAAATTAATGGAACTCTACCTTTGTAAATGGTATCATGATCTGTTGAGTATAGTGGGTCAACAAAGAAGATTTTCGAAGGTATATGAGCTTCAAAAAGAGCCAGAGCCTGAAAGTCATTTTTCAGTTTTGGGCCTTTAGAAGGTTATCAGTTTTTGACTTTCTATCTTTTAGTACAGTCAGGATTAAACAACTTTCGCGACACACGCCTATTCTAAATTGGCGTCAGTACCTCCCCCTTGGTGGCCTCACTGTTATTGCTTTATAATCACCTGTTCTCTGTAGAGAGCTAAAGCGCAGATGTTTTTAAACCGCGGACATCAACCAGAAGTTTATGTTCTTAGTTTTGGCGTGTGCTCACCCTCCACCAATGAGATGAAAAGCTTTCATTTGACTATTTATCAATTTGGTGTTTTCAACGAAAAGTTTGTAAAACGCGACATGGAAGAGAAAATTCGACTTCCGGTTCACGTGATGGAGAAGGCATACAGAGAAGCAGCAGAAGGAGTCTTAGGTAGAGCACGGAAGAAAAGGAAACCATGGATCAGCAAAGAATCATGGGACCTGGGACCTGTTTCTCGAAAGGCCCGGAAACTTTTCGGGCCCGAAAAGCCATTTTTAGTTGATCTTTTTCTAAAAACAGAGAGGTGTATACGCCTGAAACTTCTTGTATGAAGAGAACCTCTTTTCACGTTAAAAATATGTGAATAACAAAGCTCTGTAATCGTAAGGTTCGAGATTTTGCTACGACTTTCCGGGTGCGAAAACTTTTCGGGACCTTCGAGAAACGGGCCCCTGAAAGATCAGAGAGGAAAAATTAATAAGAAAATCCTGAGCACACATTCATAAAAAGTTAAAAAAAAAAAAACAACTAGGGGCGAAGAATACCGAGAAGGATAGAGAGGTAAAGAAAAGTACAAAAGCAGGCATAAAAAAGGTGGATAAAGAACATTACAGTGAAGCAGGAGCAGCAGGACGAAGCCAACATATGAAGACCCTCTATGGACTAACAAAGACACTCTGCGATGAAAGACCTATATGCAGAGCAGAGCAGTACAAGGTAAAAACGAAAACCTTGCCAGTGGAAACGAAGACGTGCAGCGAAGATGGACAGAACACTTCAAGGAAGTTCTTGACGGAGAAGAACCACCAAACATTGTAACTGTTGATAATGAAAGCTAGCTCAGTGAGATGATAGCAGATACTTCAGCTTGTGAACCAACACTAAGTGAGAGTGACGTAGCAACACAACTACAAAATGGGAAAGCACCTGGAATCGATTGCATGACTGCGGCATTATTGAAGGCAGACATTGAGCTTTCAACAAATAAACCATATAAACTGTTGAAGAAAATATGGGAACAAGAGAAAATCCCAGATCTTAAGAATGCAAGAACTGGCGGGGCATAACCCTACTGTCCATCGTAGGCAAAGTATTAACGAGAATACTCATAGACAGGATAAGATGCGGAATTGATTGTTGGAAAGAGCAAGCAGGAAAGGCAGAGGAACAAACGAACAAGTTTTCATAGCGGAGCTCCGGCACCTCGAAGGGCCCCAAGCGGAGCACCATACCCATATAGGAAAGAAAAGGAAACCCATGAGTGGATTTTCTCATGGTTATCATGGCTAGCAGTGTTGCTCGTGGGCGCCAACACACGTCAGCGACGTCGCACAACATGGCGGCCATACTCCAGCTAGTGGGTTGACCGGGACATGCAGCCTAGTCAACTGACACCTGTTAAAAACTTATCAGCTGACCAATATCACTTGACCATATAGGGGAGGTTCAAGTTTAGAGCTTATCAAGATCACGTGTCTTTTAAAGTTGACCGCTGACCAAGTGCTGGTTTTAATCCCCATACTTATAGCGGAGCTCCGGCAGCCCGAAGGGCCGCCCAGCGGAGCACCATAACTATAGGAACTGAATCACATGCATGCATAGAAATAGAAAACCATGCAACTCTGTTTTGACGGTTAACATGGCTAGCGGCATGAATCGCAGGCGCGTGCGCTTTACGACGACGACCACGACGAACTACGACCATATCGCGCAATCTGGCGGCCATACTTTGGCTAACACCAAGTCATGCAGCCTTGGTTTATGGCATGCATCTTTGATATTGGGCATCCATGATATGGTCAATTGACACCTGTCAAAATAAGAAATCCGCTTACCAGTATCACGTGACCATATTGTGGACTCAAGTTTAAAGCGCATCGAGGTGTTTTTAAAGTTGACCGCTGACTAAGTGTTGGTTTTTCGATTGGATCGCGGACTCACGTTAGGTTAACTTACTGTAATTATGTCCGCGTTTTTAGGAAGGACTAAAAGTTAACCAAATAGTAAATTTTTCTTTTATAAAAATACAAAGCAAAAAGCCATGTAATAAATTACTTATTAACCTCGAATGTTCGGTCTTTCCGGAAAAATCTCAAACCTCAGCCTTGCGAAACTGGCCTCTCTATCGCTCGGTCAATACGGCAAGGTCTTGGTTTGAGATTTTTGCGTAAAGACCACTCTTGGTTAGTAAATAGTTGATAGTGACCGAAAAATGTGTACAAAAACTGTCAAGTGCTCATGGTTCGAGTGTCCTTAATATAGAGATGTTACATGTCTTTAAAGTTTGAAACTAAATATGCTCTGGGACCAGCTTATCCTGTAACCAAAAATTAACAACACGCAATGTAAAACGAGCGAGAAAAAATGTGAGGAAGGAAACAATTGTGACTGAACTAGGGCAAAAAATGCCCGTTTTCAAAACATTTGTGGTCTGAGTCCGTTATTTTTCATGAGTTAGCAATCATTTGCTGATGAGGGGGTGAGGTTTAATTCTAATTTGTAACTGTTCTCTCTCTAGCTTGAGGCATTGAAGAAACGAAATGTTGGCTGCCCTAAAATTGCAGGCACAGTATGCGACCCAGACCTTGCCAATCCTTGTCCTTGCCCGAAGTATGGTGCTACATACTTATGCGAGTGGGAGATCAAAAGCCTCACGCCTTATACGGGAAGATATGAATGCGTCAGACAATGTTTGGGCGAATGTTGATAGGACTGAACGGGAAATTTATGTTTTTTTGCGGCTACATATAGCGTGGTTAATTACGTGGTTAATTTTTCTGCAAAATAGTTTCGAGATTTTCATTGGTGTTGTGTTCTGCTTTTTCTTGATATATGTTTCTGTAAGTTGTTTTTTGTTTGTTTCATATTTTAATCATGAGAAAAAAGTTATCGAAGGAAACCTTTGAAGGAAGTTTTGAGGGACAGTTAGGCCCAGTTCAGACACCGAACTTTTCATGAGCCGAACCAAATACATTGAATCAAGCACATGAAAAGTTCGGCGTCTGAATCAGTTAAGAACGGCTATTTGAATTTGGAACGGCCCAGCCGTTCTTCCCGCCTAACTCAGCCGGGAATTTCGGCTTTGGAACGGCTTTGATTCNTAATTTGGGTCGGTCCAAATTCGAATTAAGTTCGGCTCATGAAAAGTTCGGCGTCTGAACTGGGCCTTAACGCGTTCACTATGCTTGTAAACTATATCTGAAGCAAATTGTAGAGAGTAGCATCTGCATATTTATCAAGTCATCATATTGTCAACGTAATCAAACTTGTAATGTATGGTCAATAAAGGTATTAATGAGGACTAAATTAGTAAGTGAGCTGCTAACTGCTTGCCCCTTAAATCTTCTAGTGGAAACTCAGGGTATTTCGCGAGTCTGATTTGTTCCCCCTGTTGTCTATTAAACAATAACAATGTTCTTGCAGATAAGCCGCATCCTTGATTTTTAAGGAAAGTTTTGAGTAAGAAGTTGCATCGTATCCGCCAGTGTTTACGGTAGATTATGAGCTCGAGGTTTCTGTCGCACGCATAGAAATCGAGGACGAATAATCTAATTGTTTTAGTATAAACCTACTAGTCGTTTAAAGTTGTTTTCTAAATCCTCTTCACAGACATTTCGGAAACGCCAAGAAGAGGCCGCCAGTTCGTTAACAAGTGCATACTGCCAGGCTACTCACTATCTACAACGGAATAGATAGTGAGTAGCGTAGCCAATCAGAGAATGACATTCATGATAGAACGCTAGTAGATTAATACTAATTCACAATTAGATTATCAGCTCGAGATTTCTATGAGGTGATAGTTGATGAGGCCGAAGGCCGAATTAACCATCATCTCATAGAAATCGAAAGCGAATAATCTAATTGTTTTATAGAAGAATTCTAACTGAAATTTATTTCAAATAACAGTTTCCAGATTCTCGACGTATTATTAAACTTCGTGCCTTAGAAAGATCGCTTGCATTGAATTGTCATTTGAACTTGCAGTTGTGTGCACGCGCGCATCATTTTTTTCAGAAATTCCAAGTTTTTTAAAGTCTCGAAACCGTAAATGCCCGTCTTTAAGTCATCTCAGGAATTTTAATTAGTCATTTGCATCAAAATATTCCTCCAAAACTTTGGAAAAACGAAAAGCACCTCGCTATTTCGAAGACGACCTCCAGCCACTGCACACTAATGGCTGATAGGGTGCAATGGCTCAGCCAATCAGATTGCAGCATTTGCATTAGTGTTCAGGTAGAATTCTATTAATAGCTAATAGCTTAAGATGAAAATAAAGAAATCCAAGAAGGCGAATCCAAGATGGCGGCTGTTCAAAAATATTGATGTCATCGTTACGCCATGTGACGTCATTATTCACGTTAAGGACCTGAAGGATTTTTGAATGTGTTACAAATCATCCAAGATTCTGTCTTAGCCTTAATATTCTAGGAATTACAGGGGGGTGGTCCCCGAAGTCCCCCCTCCCTCCCGCCAGCTCCGGAAGGACTAAATAAATATTCAAGTGGAGAAAGAAAAAATACAAAATACAAATACAGATATTCCAGGATTTTAGCTTAACAATGCATAAAATTGGAGGTCTGCTTTGAACAAACAATCCTCTAGTGTCTAATTAAACACTTAGGGCGCTTTCTATTCGACCAAAAATCCCGGTTTAAATTTCCGAAAATTTCCAGTGCGAATGTGACAGCATTTTGCTGAACTTCCGGAAAAGAGGACAAGCTCGCGAGCTATACCCAAATTTTCTCAAATTTCTTACCAGGAATTGCTTGTCCATTTGAATTTCTTCACGAGATTTCTGAAATTTTCGGGGTTCTGGAGATTTCTGGAATTTTCTCGATTTCCCAGAAACTTGAAAGGGAAATTTTTGTACCATTTTTCAGCGTTTCGAAAGTTCCAGAAGTTTTGGTTGAATGGCAAACGTCCTTAAACTACTCGCCCTCGTTTTCTTTGAGTAAATAGTTAATCAGACTGTATCTGGTTGATTATTCGCCCTAGAAAGTAAGGAAGGCTAAGGACGTTATAAAATGTTCAAATTAAGGGCGGTGCCTACTTTTGTTAGTGCGCACACGTTCTGCGCATCACGCAAGCCATGGTTTAAGGTGTCTCCATGGGGTAATCATTTATGGCGTTGCGCGCGCAAGTGTTATGTTTTGAATGCCGTTTTTGCATTCGTATTTACACCCAGTCCTCTCAAACTAATTACATCTAATAAGCAATGATTAAATAGTGTTTCACTATTATCTCTGTTAAAATTATTGGTTTTAGTCTTGAAATAGAAATGCCCAAACAAATATGTTTTTTACTTTTTTATGGCTTTAGTTGCGATTTTCTTGAATTTCCTTCGGTGAAATCTTCCAAAATTTTCACAGCATATCGCTTCCCGCGGGACACGAATTTTAAACACGAAAAAAGTGGGGGTTTGTAAAGGCAGGTTTTTCGATTTTTGCAAATTTACGTCTTTTACCGCTGCGAAAAAACTGTTCTTTTAAATTTCCCTGAAAAACGAGCTCCGACTAAAGTAGAATATTTGCTACCAATCTCAGCCAAGTTTTACGGAATTTCACCGAAGGAAACGCGAGAAAATTCACTNTTTTTTGGTTATTTACATGTTAATTACATGTTATTTACATACTCTGTAAATTTTCAACTTTTCCAGTGCATATAGCTGCAATGAATACAGTTGGCCGTGAGCTGTAGTGAGCTATACTTTGCTCGCTGCTGTTTCCTGAAACGGACTAGAACCATGATTCGCGTCAAAAAGCAAGGTTGTCA